ATCCAAATAATCGGAGCTCGACTGTTCTTTATGGTGTCTGCCACGCCTCCTTCTGTCAGTTACATACATTTTCACAAAATCATATACCCCGATTTCCCATTTTCAGTGGATTCAGAGTATAAAAAGAACACGAAGACAAGACATTTTTAAAATAGATGCGCAGCACTGGAGGAGACGGTGCGAGGAGGCGACACGACACGAAAGGTGGTACAGCTACAGCTACAGCTACAGCTACAGCTGCTGCTGCTGCTCCTGTTGCATTCAATTTGAATCTAAAATGTCATGAAGCAAATAAATATTTTTGTTCATAAAGCCAAACGGAAATTGATTTTTAGCACAAATTGCGATTTCAATTTGCAATTTCGCCAACATTGATTCCTTTGAGCGAGAACTCGATGAAGTTCTGCAAATTGCGCTGCTCATGATGGCCATAAACAATATAAATGAACTGCTTGGAAATGCACACATATATATGTATAAGTATATAGTACAGTAATATATATATCACTTACCTCACTCTACAGTTGCTTTAGCTGCCTTTGTGGGGGTGTCCAACATAATAACTGCAAAGAAATGATTAAAGACAACGCATAAATAAAATAAATTTAATTGAGGGTAGAAAAGCTTCTTGAATTTCTATAAGCTTAGCAAATTGAATATAGTCTATATTTGACGCTGCCATCTGGTAATTAGTATTCTCTGTTATTTGAGCGTCGAGGAAATGCTTTCAGCGCGCAGTACTCAACCTTGGCTCAACAATCAATAGAGAATGAGAAAAAAACAAGTTATTTTTAGTCCAGACTGCAATTGACTCGACGGCAACCTTTGCACCTGGGGGCTGCACCCCCTACACGCCGCCCCTGGCGCATGGAATGCAAATAACGCGACGCTGGCGAGCACTCGAACCGCAACATAATGTTGCAAGTGTTGAATGTGTGTGCCCTAAGACGGATATATCCGGCGGGCATTTGTGCTGCCAAAAAAGGAACTAACCATAAAAATCTGCACATAAATTTAACCGAGCGGAGGCAGCCAATAGCCAGAGCAACCAGAGCAACCAGAGCAGACAGAGTAGCTAGAGCAGCTAGCAGCTGGCAGCTGCGACGATGCCAAACATACGCAAATGCAGTGCTCAAATTTATGGCCAAGCATTTCCAGGCAAGCAGCGAGCACAGGCGCCGCTCGCCGACTCCTTGTGAGCACCGCCCCCCAACCGCTGCCACGCCTCAGAGCCTGGGACTGCGAGGCAAATGGATTGCAGAAGCTACCGAAAAGCTAAGACAATCTATCAGCATGAAAGCTCATAAATGAACAAATCATAATTATTATTATAAATAA